GAGAGACGAAACGTTTCATTAGAGAAGAACCATCCAGAAGACCTACACAATTTTTTTCTTTTTTCACGTTGGTTTTTCAGATGAAGATGTCTCTTGGAGGAGAGACGAAACGTTTCATTAGAGAAGAACCATCCAGAAGACCTACACAATTTTTTTCTTTTTTCACGTTGGTTTTTCTATCCCTGTAAGGACCTTGCATTGACTTCCATTCATTTTTCCGGTCATGTCTACAGCCTAGCCCTGACCCTCAACCCTAAACCTAACGCCTCAGTCAGGATATGATGCAGTCTGTAAAAAACTGACCAACAATGAAGATGTGAGTCTTTCATTCTAGAAAGGCTGAAATGTGACCCAAGAGCAGCAGGAAGTGACATCATGACTTCAAAATATAAATGAACTTTCAAAGAATGAGCTTGGTGAACGCCCTCAAACCTACTTCCTGCTATAAATCATAGTTATTTAATGTTTTATGAGCGAAGTCAGATCACAGGTTTCTGTTCACTTTCAAAATAGAGTTTATGACAAAGTAAAAGCAGGTTTTATTTTGTCGTCTGGTTAGGAGCTTTTCAAAGTTAGTCTTGTATGGAACTCATGCAACACGGACCTCTCGTGTTCATGCATATGTCGGCCTGGCAGGAAGAGGAGCTGGCCGCCGACCATATTTGGGCGTAACGGGCGATAATCCAGCAGACTAATTTGGGTCTGGCTGAGACAATGCAGTTATTATTTTCCTCTGGACCATCAGGCAGAGGACACACAGCCATCTGCTGTGGCCACACACACACACACACACACACACACACACACACACACAAAGCAACTGATGTGTGTGTTGGGTTGTATTTGTCAGTGTGTGGATGTTGTTTGTGTAAAAAAGGCTCGCATGTTTTGCAGACCGTTCACAAATTTGTGTTTGTTTCTGCACAGCAACCACATCATCAACCCCCCCTTCCTCTCTGTCGTTACGACTTCTGATGACATCACTAGCGTGTCCCCTCGACGTTTAGCCCAACGAGCTCCTCAGTGATGTCACTTCCGCCGGGCCTTCACCTGAAGTGACACCTTCATGTTGCGTAACCCACCCCCCCTTGCCTGCATGATGGAGCAGATTTTCTCTGCGCACCCAGAGGCGGAGTTAGCTCCTTATTGTGGAGCTATCCTCATTATGGAAACACCAGGTGTCAAASTGAATTTCCTGAATCTAAATGAAAGTAAGACAGAAGTCATCAAGTTTGGTAAAGACATTTCTCCTGACAATATTGMTCCTTTGGCTTCATATAACTGCTGGGTTGTCAGAAATTTGTGTTTCATTTTTGATAATGSGTTCAAATTGGACGGACAGATAAACTCAGTGATGAAATCAAGTTTTTTTTCCAACTAAGACTTATAGCTAAGGTGAAGCCATACCTTCCAAACAAAGACCTCGAAAAGGTGATTCAAGCTCTCATTACATCTCGTTTGGATTATTGTAATTCTTTGTAAGTTGGTTTAGATAAATCTTCTCTGCATCAATTACATGTTGTCCGAAACGCAGCAGCTCGTCTTTTAACAGGAACTAAAAAATARGAACACATATCCCTGGTTCTGTCTTCTCTCCATTGGCTTCCTGTTCGCTTTAGGATAAATTTTAAGATTTTATTGCTTACTTTTAAAACTTTAAAGGGTCTAGCCCCATCTTAACTGTGTGATCTCATTAACATCCACACTTCAGTTAGCGCACTTCAGTCCAACCAGTTCCTCTTAGATGTTCCTAGATCTAGACTCAAGTTTAGAGGTGATCGGGCCTGTGCAGTTTCTGCCCCAAAGCTTTGGAATGGTTTATCTCTTAGCATGGTTGACCTGATGGATAGCCCTTCATCAGAGCTGAACAACACAAGAAATCTGAAGCTTCTATGTTGAACAGTTTCTGAGTTATAAACATTTTTGAATGTCCAGACACCCCCTTATTGAAAGGAGACCCCCCCCTCCTCAAATATGGGGTCTATCGTAAAACCGTTGTGGCGCAGTGTAGGTCAGACTCATCTACAGTCCTGCCAAATTTCATGTTGACCGGTGCAGCTGTTTTTGTGCTACGATTGACCAAAAATCTCCGGAGGGAAAAAAAAAAACTGTATGAAAACAATACGACCTTGATATGATCATAATAACTAAAAAAAGGAAAAAATACTCACTGAGGAGTGACGTTTGCCTCTTTTAAATATATCACTGTTCTGAAACAAATGTTTGCAACAAGCTACCAGATTTAGCACTTTAGCTGCTGCAAAATATACTCAGACTGCAGGCTCCCTATGGAAGTCAGCTTGTCAGACTTGCAGTGTTACTTTAGTAATACTGGTAKAACCACTTTAGAATTATAATAAACTATAAACGTGTAAACTTCTTTTTTGCACTGTGAAGCTTGAGTATTTTTACTCAAGGTTATCATCCTGTCAGAATCTCATACCTGCCTACTCCTGACATCAGCTACTACGGGTGTAAGGGTGATGAGATGCAGAAAAAGACAGCGATCAAACCAGGCCTGACCCATATAAGATCCAGGCTGAAATATTTATGGATGTGAGTGTCCTCATTGGCAAGCCACTGGGAGGCTGTGGCCCTCTCCTCCAATCGCAGCGTGAAATGAGTTTAACATACAGTTAATAATAATAAAAAAAAAAACAAGGCCTCCCCTCATTATGAGTCTGATCTGCCTGTTCCACAGCTCCAGCGAAGTACCGGGGCTGATTTCCTAACCGCTCTCATTGCACAGACGAACTGGAACAAGCGCTCAGAGCTCTGAGTCAAACGCAGACTAATTGGCTGGACTCGATGTCCAGCAGCGGCACGCGCTCAGAGAGGCCTCCACTGCTGTCTGCTGCACATTCTGACCGCTGAAAACTGCAAAAGGGCGGGGCTGAAAGAGGTCTACTGATACCCAGGACATTTTGTGATGCCTCTTAAGCTGACAATGTAGGCACGGCACATATGCGACATCGCTAAGAAGGGTCATTTTAAAATTGATATTAACTGACAAACAGCATAAATTGATTTATTGAAAACATAGTTAAAACAACAAATGTTCAGACACATCATGATTTGAGGATTAGTAAACAAACGGCTCCAGCAAGCATCTCTGTCCTGCTTGCACAAGGGGAAAAGGAGCAGAAATCAATGGCCTGTGTTTACAGGGTACACAGCTGACTGTAACACGGCACGTTATGTTACACACAGCCAAGCAGTAAAAACAGATGAGCTGCTTGGCAGGGCCGAGCCTGGCCGGCCTCGTTCTAAAAGCAAGGCAAGAGACGGCACCGGCTCACGGGCCAAGAGCAGCAGCTCCCGGCAGGCAGCACGCTCCGGTCTGAGCCAAAACTGGGACAAARATCGAAAAAAGGAAACGACCGAGGAAAAATATCTGATATCTATGGTCTGAGAGAGAGAGAGAGAGAGGGAGGAAATACTCACGCAAGAAGTACTCAGATGGGTCTGCTTCGTAATCTGTCTCCTCGGGAAAGTGGTCTATGTGTTTACACATTCCTTTGAAGTTTCCTGGAGGGAAAAKCAGAGCGAGAGTTCAGGAGAGCAGATCTACAAGGGAAACACTTGACCTAGAATGTGAATGCACCAAGTGTCATTAAAGGGATCCACGATTAGTTGTAACATTAGACTTTATTTGATAAACATTTATTTTAACTGTAAAATAAAGACTGTAAAAATACTGTAGGA